TCTTGGCTATGATTTCTCAACTGATGATTTTAATTTGATAAGAGTTGCTCAACCTCGTCCCCACTATCCTGCTATTGTATCAGACAAAGCAAAGGTTGAAGTCCTTTCAATGAAAACCAAAGTTTGGAGAAGAATTCCTGATCTCAATAAGTGACATGGGATTCGACACGCATGGGATTTTCCTACATGGATGGTTACATTGGGTAGCCAAAAATGCAAGTGGTTTTCATAAATTCTTTTCATTTGATTTAGCAGAATAGAAGTTTCAAGAGTTGGTGCCACTGCCAGATCGTTTAGAAGAGAACCATTATGTTGCAGTCATGGGGCTGGCTGTTTCAGGAGATTGTCTTTGCCTTTTCATTCAATGTGGTGAAAACCTTTATGAAGGATGGGTAATGAAGGAATTTGGTGTCAAGTCCTCATGGACTAGATTGTTCAGTTCCACAGTTGAACCTTGGCCTGGATATAAATACTGGCAGACTGCATTATGCTATACAAAAACTGGAAAAGTTGTAATTGATTATGATGGATTCGGATTAGATATGTTCTACCCAAAAGATCAAAGGTTTGAGAATTTCGCGATTCGCAACAACTGGGATTGGTTTCACTCGATTACATATTCTGAAAGTCTAGTTTCACCCAATTTTAATGATGTACAAGGTTGAAGAACTATGAGTTGGGCAAGTTTGTTTGTTTAGTTTTTTTTTTTTTAATCTGTATTGTTTTTCAGCTACATATGCAATGGCTGTCCTAGACTCCTAGTGTTCTGTTCCAAAAATTAAAGGCAGCTGCCAATTCGAAAACAGCCTCGAACCGATGGTGTTTGAGAGGGAAGAAAGCAGATAAATCTATAGCTTAAAGAATCATGGGAAAAAGGAAAACTATCTCTCAACTTGCTCACGACATTTTAGTCAGTATACTGTCAAGGCTACCAGTCAAATCTCTCCTTCGATCCAAATGTGTATCCAAGCCTTGGCGATCTTTGATCTCTGATTCTCAGTTCGCCAAACTGCAGCTTGTCCAATCACAAAAGACACAGCAATGTCAATCCTCTTGTTTCAAAATTTTATGAAACTTATAATGGTGATGAAGATGACGGCAAAGTGATATCAGAGCTTGAGTATCCGGCAGCAATGAATAAGGATTCAGACTATGATGTTGATTTGGACGATGAGGAGTTCATTTTATGGAATCCATCGACCTGGGAATTGTCTAAGCCTGGTTCTTATGTGCATCAGTGTATGATAGGTTCTCATTTGGTCTTGGCATTAATGAATATATTGATGATGATTCCAAAGATGTAGGAGATGCTTACCCTTGTATTGATAACGATCCTTCTAACAAAGTTTAAGTCCTTGTACATATTGAAATATAATTTTGGATAAGAATTCAAGATCTCCAATCTGGAATGAGCCCTTGGTTGGACTTGGGATTTTTCTATATCATGTACAGCTTCTCATAAAAACCATGTAATTGTTTCATTTTGATTTGGCAGTAGAAAAATTCAATAAACAAAGTACTGCCAATACCAGATCTTGTGGAAAAAGACTATATTTACACAGTCATCTTGGAAGTTGTTAACGTACAATCCAAAAGAAACAAACACCACATTTGGATGGCAGCAAGTTTTCGGTGTTCATATGCAAAGCGTGGAGACTTTTTTTTTTGTTCCAGCTTTTTCTAATTCTTTTGTGAATTGAATTCCAAGCAACCTTTTATGTGCAGTTGCACAAATAAAATTTCAAGAAGAAAATCACTGTTTGAAGAGACAATAATTTGGCATTTTATCCTTCTCGTTGTTTCCAAGGGCTTGCATAGTTCCTCATTTAGTCTTTTCTTACAAGATTCATTACCATATAATTTCTGTTATAATCAGAAAAAAGTGACATTTTGGGGACTAGCTCAACTGATAGACCTTTATAATCAATAACTCTGCTACAATCTAACTGCAAGAATATGATGCAAACCATGGCATGTAGCACAATAAGCAGGCCTACCTCTAACTTTGCCGCAACAAAAAAAAAGGTTTCTGCAAACAGCAAAATGATCTTGGTCAGTCAAATTCAGGCAAAGATCCCTGCAATCCAGTTAGTAATCATTGTTCCTATTCCTGTAAGCACTTTTGTTGCTGCATCTGTAAAATAAAAGCTACATCAATCTTACCAAAGAAGAGTAGTCAATCTTATTGGAGCTTCCGATTCCAAGCACCAAGCTCCCCAGTTCCAAGCTTGCCTAGATCAGTTTGTTCTGGTCCAGGGGCAAGTAAGAATTCAAGTATGGTGGAGGAAGATATGACTGTTGTTGAGTCTTCAACTGAGAACCATGAACTAGAGAGGAGGAAAAAAAGAAAAAAAATCAGGTGAAGAGATTTGGGTAGCTTAAAGTTCATTGGAAGGATGGACAGGTAAAAGAAAAATTATATGGAGATGGGATTTGTAATGAGAACAAGATTGATTTTTCTGACAATGACCATGATGATAAGGATGATGGTAGAGATGGAAGTGATGAAGTGATATATGATTGTGAATCTTCTCAAAATTACTGGTCCGAGTACCCTTCTCTCATACCAAGCTTTTCTCTCAACTGGCCTTCTTGTGCGATATGGCCTATGTGATTCCAGAAATCCAGGTATATATGTATGTTTTTCACCAATCTTTGCATGGTTTGACAAATTCCTTTCTCTTTTAGCCTAGTCTTTGCTTCTGCACATTCAAAGACCGAGAAAAATGCTTTGAAGTACAGCCGAAATTCCAGGCTAATACCCCTAAAGAACATTCCTTCCTTGATCTCATTTTTGAAAGATTATTTGGACTTGTCTAATTCGTTACCGCTTTTCCACATTTTCGTTTCACCAAAATTGATATAATGAGTATAGTAAACTTGACTATTTCTAGTACAAAAATGACTTCACCCTATGAACTTTCAGGACAATTATTTGAGAATGTACTATGGTCTACACTTTGTTACATCTTCTTTAGAAATGAAAGTAGAGGCAACAAAAACTGAAGCAGACCTTGAATAGTCTCTTCACTCACAGATTACCTTTCCAACACCGAAGGATTCTGGTTCTGCGAAAGCTATGAATTCCGAGAGAAAGCATCCAATCCACTCATCTCTTGCTTCAGGTATTGTGGCTTCAGCTGCATCTTATCTGTGGTCAAAATCAAAGGCCATTTTGCCTTTCAATTCCAAGCCACAGCACGAAAGTGGGAGCGATGATTTATGGGAAAGTGAAAGCCATTTAGAAGAGATGGCAGAGAATTTGCTGCATGTTGCAGCAGCAATGCTTTCTGGCATTGTCAAGGTTCCAGCAGTGGAGAAGCAAAGCCATTCCATTCATCTCAGGTGGAATGGTTTATTTGTGATGATCCACGCACACATACTCGCTTTTTTGTGGTTCAGGTAATTCCTTTGGAAAACCCAAGTATATCTATATGGAAACAAAGACAGTAACTAGCACAACATCAAATATATTTGAGCCGCAGGGACCGAATTCCTTGGCATCTTGGCGGCCGAATCCTCTTCTTTGAACCAACTATCTTTGAGGTAAAGATTAGTGTAAAATCAGAGAAGTTGAATGGGAGCTTTGCCACAGACAATTAGAGTTTATTACTACCTTGCAGGGAAAGGAAGTGTTTGTTCATACAGGAATTTATGAAGCTGGGAAGGTCATATATGGACAAGTTATGCCAAATATTGTGGACCATTTACAGACATATGGTGACCAAGCTAAGCTGCAATTCACTGGTCATTCACTTGAGGGAAGTATTTCTATACTAGTCAGCTTGATGCTATTAACCATGAATGTTATCAGACCTTCTACACTTCAGCCGGTTGTGACTTTTGGCTCACCATTTGTGTTATGTGGAGGCCAAAATTTACTTGATGAATTAATGTTGGATGATAGCCAGATTCACAATCTGATTATGCATCGAGACATTGTCCCTAGAGGCTTCTCCTGCAACTATCCTGATTATCTAACCTCAATTCTCACGGTTTTAAACAGTTCATTGCATTCTCACCCTTGTCTAATTGAAAATGTAAGTATCTACAAACAAGGAACAAACATTATTTTAAATTCAGAACTTACCTCAATTGGTTAATACAATCACTAACAGAGGTTCATATCCTAAAATCTGTAACCACTTCCTTTATTTCGAGGTTGCTGTATCCTTTGTAAAAAAAAAAACATTATTCTTACCCAAGTTTTCATAATAAAAAAAAAAAAGAAGTATATGGTTAACTGTTGCTTCTATCTGATGCAGAAATTTTTGTACTCTCCACTCGGAAAAATGTTCATTCTCCAACCTGATGAAAAGTCATCACCTTCACATCCCTTGCTTCCTCCAGGGAATGCTCTTTATGCTTTGGACAGCACCAAATGTGGAAACTCAACTGTTATCAGAGCATTCCTCAATTGTCCTCACCCAATTGAAACTCTGCTTGATCTTAGAGCCTATTGCTGTGAAGGAACTGTCTTAAGGGATCATGACTGTGGTAGCTATTTGAAAGCAATTAATGGGGTTCTAAGGAAACGTATAATGACGATTGTCCGAAGTCCAAGAAAGGAGTGAAGCTTGTTATGGCCGCTATTTGTTTCACCATCTTCACATTCATGAAGCCATGAGAGCAATTTGGAAGCAATAAGTTAATGTTCAAGAATTAGACTTTCGTCAAAATATACATTGAAATAATAGAAGAAATTGAAATTAAATAGGATATTTCTGCAAAAAAAAAAAAAAAAAAAGGGATAAGAAAAATTGAAGGATATGTATACAAAGAATTAGTTTTTTATAATTAAATAATTGGCTTTAATTATTAAAAAAAACCTTACTTTAATTTTTTTTTTTTTTGGAAGTCCACGACAAACGGGCCAAACTGGCCCAACTTATTTGTTTTTTGGATTGTTGGTCACGCAGGTCCAACTGATTAAAAACTTAAAAAATGGGTGCGGGTCATACATCCCCCTTGCATATATATAAATATAAATATATATATATATTTATATATTTATATATCTTTCGGTTCTTCCAAAAATGCTCGCTGCCGCCGCCGTTATCACTCGCCTCCGTCTGCGCTTCTTTTTATTTCTCTCCGCCACGGGGCTCCACGTTTAGTTCACCAAAGCCGCTTTTTTTTATTTTTGAGGTAAATATATATACATATTTATCTTTTGCTGCTAAATTTATTGAAATTCTATTGAATCTGTCCGTACTTTTTTTTTTTTTTTGAATTTAGGAATATAAAATTGTGAGCTTCCATTTAATTTAGGGATATAATTCTTTTTAATTATGATTAAAACTATTATCAAGAGAGAAAGTGTGATCTTATCTATAGAAGATTACTTATGATGTTGATTATTGTTTTCGTCATGGATGATTCATCGGTTTTATTAATAGTAATAAGGATTTTGGCTGATGTTAGTTTAAAAGAATTCTTTCAGGTGATTCGAGAAATAGTCTTTATTCAAGCGACTTTAATCGACGCAAAGAATCTGTAGCTCTTGTTTCCATTAAGATGGCAGATTCAAGTGCCCCCCAGAATGCTGGAGAAGAACCACAGCAATCTGAGACAGAACCACAGTCCGAACAACGTAAAAATTGCTTCTTTTATTATTTTTATAGAGTTATGTGTGGTTATTTTACTCGTATAGCTAATTCTTTGGTTTTTCAGTCTGCAATTTCTTTAGGAAGCCAAAAAAGGGGAAAAACATTAGGAAAAGGACAATAAATGAAGATGAAGGTGAAGATGAAGACTCCAGAAATGGGGCTTCTCTGTTGCACAATCAAAAAAAGGCTCTGAAGCCTGACAATAAGTTATACTTTTCAACTGGATCCTCCAAGAGTGCTGCTGCCACTGAATCAAATATAGAATCTGACAAACCAAATTTTCATTTTGAGTCTTCCAAGGAAATTCAAGTTCAAAATGATAGCAGAGCAACAGCAACCTTAGAAACTGAGACTGAGTTTACGAAAGATGCTCGAGCTATACGTGAGAAAGTTCTTAAACGAGCAGAGGAGGCTTTGAAGGGGAAAAACACAAGCACTGGGGGAGAGAAGTTGTATACAGGAATGCATGGCTATGTGGATCACAAGGCTGGGTTTCGAAGAGAGCAAACAGTTGCATCTGAGAAAGCTGGTGGCTCACATGGACCTCTTAGGGCTTCTGCCCACATCAGGGTTTCAGCAAGATTTGATTACCAGCCTGACATCTGTAAGGACTACAAAGAAACTGGTTACTGTGGTTATGGAGATTCATGTAAGTTTATGCATGATCGTGGAGATTACAAGTCTGGATGGCAGTTAGAAAAGGATTGGGAAGAAGCAGAAAAAGCAAGGAAGAGAAATCTAGCTTTGGGTGGGGATGATGATGATGATGAGGCAGGGGAAAACCAAAGTGATGATGATGATGAGGATTCATTACCCTTTGCATGTTTTATTTGCCGGCAGCCATTTGTGGATCCTGTTGTTACTAAGTGCAAGCACTACTTCTGCGAGCATTGTGCTTTGAAGGTTTCCTCATCATGCCCTTTCATGTGTATTATATATATATATATATATATATATATATATTGTGCTAGGTTCATTATCTGTTAGTTTTTGTTATATTGTTGCTCCTGCATTACTTGGTGCAAAACATTATTGGTTACTCACACAGAAAAAAATTTTATATGGTCCAACTTTTTTTAGTATAGGACTGGGACATATTTTCGCTTTACATTATCTACTTTTGATGCCTCATGTCTGTATTATCCTACCATGCTTTACATTTTTTTCTCATGAATATAAACTAACCAAATGTTGTATCTTTTGTTCTTTCAGCATCATGCGAAGAACAAGAAGTGCTTTGTCTGCAACCAACCCACCCTTGGCATTTTCAATACTGCTCATGAGATACGTAGAAAGATGGCTGAAGAGAGTAAAAGATAAGTTCATGGATGTTTTGCTGCAACACCTGCAGCCATGAACTTTTTTTTTTTTCTTTGTTTAGTGTTGTAGTGGAAGATTCACTTCTCTGTATACCTTTTAAAAGGAAACGTATTTCCTGCCAGATATTGGGGAAATTTTAGATTATGGAGTGATGAACTTCTTGAAATCATTGTTGGTGCAAGCATGTTCATTAGTATTTAGATCAGCATTCTATTGGAGTCGTGCCTTGACTACAGCATTGGAAAAAATCATCTTGGTGCTCGTATATTTGTACCATACCATTTGCAATTGTGCTATTGTTTTTTTTACGAGGTGTTGCCTCGGTGGTAAGCAATGCAATCTGGTCACAAGCGGACTTTATTTGCCTAAGGCAAGGGTTTGAAACTTGGAGAAGGCCCTCGTTGGGAGGGGAGGTAATCTAGATGATCACTGTTCTTAGATCACTGATGCTCCACTCCCTGAAATGGGGACACCATTTACTTACCAAAAAAAAAAAAATGAAATTAACTTACATACATATATGTGGGAACTCATCTTTAAATATTTTAGAACATGTGAGTTTTATTATATAACAAATGAAACATAAATAACTAAGCTTAGAAACTCATAATAATTGAAAATGTTCCGATAAATTATAGAATGCATGAAAAAACATAACATATGGTACTAAAATGATCTTAATTAACCAATATTTTGCCATCGTCTTTCAACAACCCTTCTTTTCGAGAATTGGGTCAAGTAAGAGTGACCACTAGTCGGTTAAAATTGATTTAACTGATTGATTCAAGTCGATTTCAACTAATAATTTTAATGCGGTAAATTCAATCGATTAATTTGATTTTTACATTTTCAAAACAGAATTAACTGAATGTTTTTAACTTATTCACCTAAGAGAAACCTAAAAATGGCTCAAGGGAGATATAGTACTCTCCATCTAAAATAAGAAAAGAAAACCATAAAATAAGAAAAAAAAGCATTTTTAACTAAAATCAAAAGCAAACTTGATCATGCACAAAATAATAATAATAATAATAATAATAATAAAGGCAAACTTGATCATTAAACAGAGAACATAAAGACTACTCCTTCAAAGGAAATTAAAAATATATATGTATATATATATATATATGTTTAAATCAACGGACAGAATGAAACATTCAAAAATAGAAATACAATCCATTTATTGTTCAAACATAACATTTTACTAAAATTTCACTCAAAGTTGCTCATTTTTTTTGTTTAAGACTCTCCGGTGTTCGGAAGTCACTTTGGATTCTTATTAATCTAGAGTTAGAATTGGATCAGATTTTATAAAAATGACAAGCTTTTTCAAATCTGTTTTTTTTATTTAAAAAACTCAAAACCGAGATCTTGTTTAAGGAAAATAAAACTTCTTATCGCTCGAACCAACAATGGTAAAGTTGCTTATTTTTTACTTTAATGTTCTTCTCCCAAGACCGATTTTGCCTTTTCTCTTGACTAGTACATAGCCTTCTTCTTTTTTCTTCATGTTTTCCTGAAATTTCTGTCAAAGGAGGATAAATAGAAAAGAATAATGAACGAAAACAAATTAAAATTAATCTATGTAAAAAAAATTAACAATTAAATATAATTGAAATAAATAAAAATATGGATATATAAAATTTGAGACATTATTAAGATAAAATTGAAAATTGAAAATGGTTATTGAAATATCGCAATGATATCAAAATATCTTTATTATAAATTATATTCATTGATTTACGAACGATCCATCAACAAAAACTTAATTTTAGCAATGAGAATTGAATTTAAGTGTTATAAATAAAATATTTAATTCTTACCAACTTAATCAATCCGTTGACGTTTGATATCTATTTTTAATTAACATTAGTAAAATACTAATAATAAAATAAAGAAGTTGGTAAATGAAATAACAAGAAAAGAAGTTCAAACTTACAGGACTGGAAAGGTTGGCCTTTTTGGCATATCTCACATGTCGCATAAGATCTTCGTAAGTGTAGAGTAGTTGGTTGGTCGGTGGGCAAAGGTAGCACTGTAATTTTCATAATTACTTAAGCAATCCAATAAAATTAAAGTCATGGCAAAAGCAATATTAAAATTTCCAAATTATTTGATTTAATAATACTTTAAGAAATAAAATATATATTTTTTATTAACTTCAATATATTTAATAACAAAATATCAAGAATTTAGTTCGAATATAAATAAACTTAATAATTATTATTAAATACATGCATACAAACCACTCAAAAAATCTATATTTAGGTTAATATATCAATCATCGATCTATCTATATTCTTAATAATATATGATAATTATTAAATTTACCATATATATTGATAATTTTGTACCGAATAATAACCGATAATAGAAAAGGCATATATTAAATTTTTTTATTATGTAAATTAAAATCATTTAATTTATAGATTATTCATAAAAAAATTATTGATAATAAGAATCGAATTTAAATTTAATAAATGAAATATTCAGTTTTTATCAATTTATCAAACCATTTCGGCTTTTTCATATCCATTTTAATTAACATTAGTAAAATATTAATAATAAAATAAAGTAGGTAAATAAAAAAAAAAAAGTTTAAACTTACGGGATTATAGATGGAAAACTTGGCCGCTTTGGCAAATCTCACATATCGCATAAGGTCTTAGTAAGAGTAGAATCGTTGGCCAGTCGGCGGACAAAGGTAGCACTGCGATTATCAGAATTACTTGATTAACCCAATCAAAGTCTTGAAAATGCATTGTTAAAATTTCCAAATTATTTGATTTAATAATTCTTTAAGAAAAAAAATGTTAAATGTTTCCTTTATTAACTTGATTATATTTAATGACGATACATCAAGAATTTAATTCGAGTGTTAAATAAATTTAATAACTGTCATCAAATGCATGCATGCACACAAAACACGTAAAAAATTTATATTTGGTTTAATAAAATAATAAAGTGCATGAAATAGAATATAAAGGCATACATTTATAATCTTAATTATCCAATACCTTGACTTCAGTACCATCATCTTTTAACTGGGTTCTTAAAATCCATCCTTCGGGAATTGAACCAGGGGAAACCTTGATGTCCCTTTTGGTGTTTCTGATGAGCCATTTCCTGCAAAATTTAAAACCCAAAAATACCCTAAATAGATTCAATTTCACTAATGATCACTACATGTAAACGATGCAACCAAAGGGATTAATTTATAGCAGACTGGAGATGAAGCAAAAGATGGCTTTGAACCAATGTGTTCTGTATTGTTTCGTCAAGAGCCAAGACTAGGATTGAAGGGAATCGAGTAAAATGCGATACCTTCTTGAATTTCAGTTTCTGTTTTTTGCTTGGCTGGTTTTTGGTTCATGCAAAAAACACAGACAAAAACCAAAATAAATGGACCTTGAGCTTGCTGAGAAAGCTGACCATATTTTTGGGGTACTTTCGAGAAAAACAGCCGTTTCATAATTTGAGAATTACGGTTGGTTAAATTAACTTTATATGGTAACATTATCACAAGTTTCCTAATTGGCAATTTTAATGATTCAATTTCAACTATAAGAAAAGTTTCCTAATTAGTATTTATGTAAAGGTGTCTATAGACTGGTTGAATTTAAGTCAAGTTTAAGTATAGTATCAATACTATATATATTTGTTTAAGTTTTGTCCAACTCGATAATTTAGATCTCAATCTCTATTTAAGAACATCTAAATTAATAAATGATAAAGTTTAAATCTATCTAGTTCTGCCCAAATTATTTTTTTAATAAAAATTATAAAAATGAAAACATGTTATTTTTATTTAATCTTTAGTAATTTCATTTTTTTAATTAAATCTTAAAATATGGACAACTTAACATCATTTTTAATATTTACACTATAATATTATATATTTATCCTTATATGATATATATTACATAATATATATTTAAAAAAAAAAAAAAGAATGGATCGAACTGCACAAAAGACTTAAATGTTGGAGTCAAGGTCCAACACGTTTTTAAACCTTCCTCGTATATAAACTATAACCAATAACTATGTATACAATTGCCAAGATATTTGCATTAAAGATTGAACTTTACATATTAAACATATTCCAACAGGTGTGAAAACAAGAAGATTGGACTATGGATATATATATATATATATTATATGCAAGAAAAATAAATTATTCTTATGATAAATAATTTTTTTAACATTTTTTTTCCAAAACATTTCAGTCAAATGCTACTATAAAAACATGAGTACACTTTATTATTGTATTAATTTCATGTTCAATAAAAAATTAACACTTGGATTATAAAATTTTAAGCAAAATTTATTAAATATAAATTATTTAATAAGTATCAAATAATTAACGCATATAACATCAAGTACATCATGGACAATTTGATTTTAGGAATATCAATAGGCATGACTATGTCCGACCCATAAACAACTTTATCCGATAACATTAGTAAATCAATTAATCATCATCCTTCGTGCTAAAACAAATCTATATGAAATCAATAGTTTGTAAACCATGGAATCATTCAAACTCCCACATATAATTAAATCGTTTATATATATCAAAGTCGTTGATTTTAAATTTTTTAAGGCCTTCACCTTTGGGGAAAAAAATAAAAGAAAAAGGAACAATTTTGGAAGCTGGAACAAAATTTCCTGGCTACAATGCAGTCTCCATCTTCATCGAATGACCAACTCCACTAGAATTGACTTGGGAAAAGGACGAAATTTCCCCCTGTATTTTGCCTCTAAATTTCAAAACTTTTCCCCAACATTTTGCCTTCCATCCCCAACAGCCACTTCCCCTATTGGCTTTAATTTTGTTTTTCCTTCTAAGGGTGCGTATAAGTCAATTGAAACCAATTTAACCAATTGAAATCGATATAATTTGATTACATCGATTTGGTGAGTTTAATTTTGATCATTTTTAATTAAATAAATCAGTTTAATCGATTTATTCGATCATTTTTATTTTTAAAATCATTAATTAATGGATTGAATATATTAATTTTTTAATAGATTTATAAATATATTTTATATAATATAAATATATAAAATATTTTTAATTGTATTTTAAGAATGACAAATATGAAATAAGTGACAAAATTATAAAGTATATTTTATTGAATGAAAATGATTGCAAATTTATTATTCAAAATTAATGGTAAAAGAATAGTGAAAATTTTTTTATTTTTCAATCGAGAAGATCTTATATCAATTGATTATTTTTTGTTATTAAAATAAATCATTTGATTCAATTAACTTTTTAGAAGTGATCTGTAAATTAAACTAATAAAATTGACTGATTACACACCCCTAGTTCTTTCTATAGAAGAAATTAACATATATAAAACGTAATCACTATTAAAATATAGCATTTAGTAAGTTTGGATGTAAATTTCAACGATTATAATTCTTTTTTCTATTGTTTACCAAAATATGACAATAACCATTATTACTAAATCAAACTTGTTTCTATTTCAATTTATGCGCTGCCATGGACCCTTCCATGGAACTCTTCTAGATACCTTCATAGACAATTTGTTCAATGATTTCTCTATTGGTTCAGCCATATGAATCAAAGTATCAAAAGTAAAAGCTTTGACTAGTTTCACTGGTCTAGGGCCATGGCAGTCTCATGCAGGCATCCTTGCAATTTCTGACTGTCTTTTTCAGTCATGCTTGGACAAAATTTGACAAACAACCAACACCATGTTCTGTTTTCTCCATCAAATTAATTGTAGCACTTGTCAATTCTAGAAACAGTCCCAAATCCCTGGTGTACATTGTAAAGGAAAATAATCTCTCAATTCTTTCCTGAGTTTCCCAAACACCTTTCTCAGTCAATAAAAGACAGCAATATCAACCCCCATCGAGTCCTTGTCTCCAACAATCCTGTTCAGTCAATCAACTACGAAGCTTATAATGGCAGTGAAGATGGCAACAAAGCGACATTGGAGCTTGATTATCCAGCAGCAATGGAGAAAGATCCTGAAAATGATTTTGACTTTGTGGGTCTTGTAATGGCTTGGTATGTTTAGTTGTGGACTCTAAGGAGCTCATTTTATGGAATCCATCTACCAGGGAATCAAGGCCATTGCCTAAACCAAAACATCGTCCTAATGGCTTGTTTTATTATGGTCTTGGCTATGATTTCTCAACCGATGATTTCAACTTGATAAGAGTTTCTCAACCTCGTCCCCATTATCCTGCTATTGTACAGACAAAGCAAAGGTTGAAGTCCTTTCAATGAAACCAGAGTTTGGAGAAGAATTCCTGATCTCAAAACTGACTTGGAATTCGACACACATGGGATTTTCCTACATGGATGGTTACATTGTGTAGCCAAGCAAGTGGTTTTCATAGTTGTCGATTTTAGATCTTTTAAAGCCTTCAATTTTGGGAAAAAAATAAAATAAAATAAAAAGGAAATAATGACAGCTTCTAGATATTTATGTTGACAATGATAACGAAAACCATGATATTTTTTTCCAAATCTAACTTTCTTGGCAGTTCAAACCTCAATTATCGAGGTCCTAATAAGAAAATCAGCAACCAGGCCAAAAATTTTAGAAGCTGGAACAAAATTTCCTGGCTGCAACGCATTCTCCATCTTCATCGAATGACCGACTCCACTAGAGTTGACTCGGAAAAACCACAAATTCTTTTCAGTCCCCTCGAACAAATCCCCCCGTTTTTTGCTTCTAAAATTCAAAATACTTTTTCCCAGCTTTTCCCTCCCATCCCTAACAGCCACTTCCCTAATTGGCATTTTTTTCTTCTTTTTAAGGGCGAGCCTAAGTAGTCGTTTGTATCCCGTGCGATTAAATTCATTATACCTTCAATTAAATTTAAATGTCAATTTCAATGAGATTAAATTAATATAATTTTTTTATTAAATATTTTTTTAATTACAATTATAATAATTTTTTTAATTGTAATTATAATAAATTTTATTATTATTTTTAAATTCACCGTAATCAATTTCATCATTCATTTAAATGACGCTTAAATAAATTGAAATCGATTTAATCAATCAAAATTAATATAATTTGATCAAATGGATTTGATTAATTTAATTTTGATGATTATTAATTAAATAAATTGGTTTAATTGATTTATTCTATCATTTTTATTTTAAGAATTAGTAATTAAATAGATTGAATTTATTAATTTTTAATTTATTTAATAAATTTTATATAATATAAATATATAAAAGATTTTTATTTGTACTTTTAAGAATGATAAATATGAAAAGTTGACAAAATTATAAAATAAGTTTAATTGAGTGAAAGTTATTCCAAAATTATTATTCAAAATTGATAGTTAAAAAATAGTAAATTTTTTTTTTAATTTTTCAATCGAATAAATCTTATAGCAATTTGATTATTTTTTGTTATTAAAATAAATCATTCGATTACTTTTTCAGAAGTGAACCGGCTACATACCCCTACTTTCTATCGAAGAAAATGACATATATGAAGAAAAAGGAAAAACAAAAATGAAAACATGAAATTCATAAAACGTAAAGCGCACCGTTTAAAGACAATAAAAAAATGACAGATGTTGCGCAAGAGTGAGATTATGTATATGCAAGATTGCAATAATATTTGCATTAAAGGACAAAATATTAAACATATTCCAAAGGTGTGAAAACTACAATGCCGGATTTGACATTTTTATCTGCTAATAATAAATAATAATTTAAGTATTTGACAATGCGCATTTTGTTATTTTTTAAAAATAAACAATTCATTTTGTAACGTAAATTTCATTTTTACAAGTTAGTTCTGTCGGCCAGACATATTTAAAAATTTTCTATATGTTGATTGGCTAATTGGTTTCTTTGATTGGCTGCTTCCTAACAACTTTCTAGTCATAATTTCTATATTTCAAGCAAAATGTACAGACCAAAAATATTATGTTGGCCAACGTTTCTACTAAGTTAATTATTAAATTAGCCAATCCTAGGCGTTTTGCTTAATGAAATAGGATGCATATCAACCCTTTCATACACGTTATAAATTTTAAAACGTCTGTAAATATTATATTATAATTAATTAATTATAATTTAAAATTATGTAGATTGGTCTATGAAAATATTACATGAAATCATGCATAGTAACAGACTTTATATAATTTTTTGAAGAATGAATAATTATAGGATTGTAATAAAAAAAATTAGCTTGTTAACTTCCCCAAAAATTAACAGGATTTATCTAGCAGATCAGCATCATTAAGTTTAATTATGATTAATTTTGTAGTTTTTCTCTTGTTTTTATGAGAAATAATGGTACTTGATAGACTCCAAATTTTCCAAGAATGAATTTCTTGAGAATTGCCTGAGCCATTTTCATTTTGAATGCCCCTATAGTTTAAACCTATCCTTTGCTTAAGGCTATTGTCTTTGCACCATATTTTATTTGAATCTGGTTCAAATAGCTTTCACCAGTCTTTACATATACATATATAAAATCCAAAACTTTTCTTCTCCTCCTCTTCTTCTTGATAGATTTAATTATATGCAGTCACTTTGACATAAGGATAATTAAATCAATAGTCCTTAAAAGAAATAATAATTAAATAAACAAAAAAAAAGTGTGAAAATTATCCAACTGTCCAATTGACAGTAGCATTTAGGATTGTTGCAGTGTTGGTCAGAAAAAACTGCAATTAGTTTTGCTATCAAGCCATTGACTTCAAAGGCAATAATGAAGGAAATCAAATGGTATATGCTATTTGATACCGAAGCCATTCTGGGGAGAATCAATAGATCATTTAGTTAAATACCTTGACTATTGATCACTCTTACACCAAAATCACCTTACAAGCTCAGGCCTCCTTTTCCTTTTGTCTGGACCAAGGAGCAAGTATTTGTCTTCAAAAGGTCAGGCAGTTCTGAATCTTTAAGGAAGTAAGAGAAATTACATGGACATGTTGCTTGTGAAAATGATGTTTTATCATTCCATGATTTTGATTAACAGATGAAAGTATTTGTTTCTGATTTGGGGCCTTATCCATTTTCTTTGACATGAGGAAGTATGCAGAGCTAAAGCTAGTTGTATAACAAAACTGATAGTCTGTTTCTATCTTAATATCTCTTATCTGGGATTTCCACTTAATTCCCAGGCTATGTCTTGGCTTTTATTTTTAATTTTTTTTATTCTTTTCTAAATGAGAAAGCATCTTCTCTTCCTTAATTTGTGTAGTCCATATAGCTCAGGGCAGATTATATTGTTCTGATGATTGATCAGGTGAATTATTTTCTAGACTATATAATAAGCAGAGGAATCAAAAGATGCCTTAAATAGCTTAAGTTTGATTCAATCCTAATTTCGCAGTCTTAAATATTTGACATACACGAATAAAATCTAGAGCTTAAACTCAGTTGGTTCATCACCACCATAGTACTCAACAAGTTTAAAGTTCAAATCCTAAGCAACTGCAACCCTTCCCCTATCCCCAAGACCCTTTTTGGAAAAAAAAAATATTTACACTTAGGAATGGTATAGTCAATAGAAGTGGGATCATTTGATTTTATGTTTTTTTATCTTATGTTCAGGTAAAAATCAGCCATTTTCAGAGATCTAGCTAGCCATGGCTAGAAACCAACTTGGAGTTCTTACTGCACTGGATGCAGCAAAGACACAATGGTACCATTTCACAGCAATTATAATTGCAGGGATGGGTTTCTTTACTGATGCTTATGACCTGTTTAGCATCTCTTTAGTCACAAAATTGCTTGGTCGTATTTACTACTACGTTGAAGGATCTACAAAGCCCGGATCATTGCCTCCTAATGTGGCAGCTGCTGTTAATGGTGTGGCCCTTTGTGGCACTTTAGCTGGTCAGCTTTTCTTTGGCTGGCTTGGTGATAAATTAGGTCGGAAACGAGTTTATGGACTTACCCTGATGCTTATGGTGGTCTGTTCCCTTGCCTCCGGGCTTTCCTTTGGAGACTCTCCAAAGGGTGTCATGGCAACTCTTTGTTTCTTCAGGTTTTGGCTTGGTTTTGGAATTGGTGGTGACTATCCCCTCTCAGCCACAATTATGTCTGAGTATGCCAACAAGAGGACTCGTGGAGCATTTATCGCCGCAGTTTTTGCAATGCAAGGATTTGGAATTTTGACAGGTGGGATTGTTGCTCTTATTGTTTCAGCTGCATTTGATCATGCGTACAACGCCCCTCCATATGACGTCGACGCAACAGGGTCAACTGTACCTCAAGCTGACTATATTTGGCGTATCATTCTGATGTTTGGAGCAGTTCCAGCTCTCCTCACTTACTACTGGCGAATGAAGATGCCAGAAACAGCCCGTTACACTGCCCTCGTAGCCAGAAACGCAAAACAGGCTGCTTCAGACATGTCCAAGGTCTTGCAAGTGGATCTGGAAGCTGAAGAAGAGAAGGTAGAGAAGATAGGAGCATCATCATCCAACTCCTTTGGTCTATTTACTTGGGAATTCGCCCGGCGCTATGGAGTACAGTTGCTTGGGACAACTTCTACTTGGTTCCTATTAGACATTGCCTATTACAGCAACAATCTGTTTCAAAAAGACATCTTTACTGCAATTGGCTGGCTTCCAAAACCTGCAACTATGAATGCAATTCATGAGGTTTATCGGGTTGCAAGGGCGCAAACACTTATTGCACTTTGCGGCACTGTTCCTGGATACTGGTTTACGGTGGCTTTAATCGATTATATAGGCAGGTTCACAATTCAATTGATGGGCTTCTTCTTCATGACCGTTTTCATGTTTGCTCTTGCCATCCCTTACAATCACTGGACACATCACCACACCGGATTCCTTATCATGTATTCATTGACCTTTTTCTTCGCAAACTTTGGACCCAATGCCACCACATTTGTTGTGCCAGCTGAAATTTTCCCTGCAAGGTTAAGGTCAACATGCCATGGGATATCTGCAGCAGCTGGAAAAGCTGGAGCCATAGTTGGTGCATTTGGGTTCTTGTATGCTTCCCAAAGCACAGACCCATCACAGACTGAAGCAGGTTACCCACCTGGTATTGGAATGAAAAATTCACTAATTTTGCTTGGTGGCATCAACGCCCTTGGGATATTTTTCACTTTCTTGGTGCCTGAGTCCAAAGGAAAATCGTTGGAAGAGCTAACAGGAGAAAATGAAGAAGAAGCCGACGAGATCCAGCCGCCATCTTCTTCTCAGACAGTTCCAGTCTGAACTAGCAAAGTTAAACCACAATGTTTCAGATCAAAACATACTGTAGATATGCCAAAAACAGGACCCTAAAAGGCGATGGAATTGAAGAACTAGAATAATAATGTCAGTGGTAATGATAGTCCAATACTTTAATTATGTTACTTGAAAAAAAAAAAACAAACTTTAATTGTGTTTTCAATAATGATGTGAATGTGATATTGAACCTCTCCTTCCTCCAAATCAAAATATGATGTGATGTTATCTGTAACTGGTATTCAAGAACATCAAATTAGCTAATATCGGAATGCTTGGTTTTTGTGAGCAACATAGCTGGCTCGCTAGATAGATGGTAATGCTACAGTTAAGTAGGGAGATCAGATTATACATGCAGAAACCAGCACAAATCAGGAGTTTGAGACTTGGGTTCTGCTTATATACGTGTGAATTCTTAAAACCCTTTGGCGACCTAAAAATAGAAAATTATTTTTAGAATTTGATTATTAAATTTTTAAATAATGAAATGTAAAATATTGAGAAATTAAGAAAAAATTTCTAAAACTTTTAAAAATTTTTCAACATAAAAATTTCTTTTCAAAATACTTTTATTTTTCATATATAAAATTTATTTTTAATGGTTTTCAATTTTTTCTCTTTTTCTCTTTTTATTTTTTTATTTTCTAAAAATAAAATTAATTTTTAACATTTTTTATATTTTTTAGAATTATGACACCTGAGTTCACATATTAATAATTACATGACATTAATAAATCGGATTAATTTGATGGCATGACAAAATTAAGCTATATGTAGCCTTTTGATTGGTCAAAATGCATGGAATCATTGAAAATTAACTATATCAAAAACATGTATTACAAATAAACCAAATCCTAATAAAGACATCACATATGACATTAACCTTATTATTGTTATTAGTAGGATTTTCTTTTGGAATATAAGGATAATATTAAAATTTCTCTTCTTAATATTTTTTTCGTTTTACATTATTTAGATGTTTTGGATTTTCATAAAATTTAAGAAAAAAATTTTAATTTTAGTGTATCTAATATTAATTAAAATTTTTATAAAATTATAATTTTATAATTTTAATGAAAAAATATAAAAAAATTATTTTTAAAAAATGAACTGGATATGGCGACTAACGTATTCTTCTTACTAGCCCAGACCAGTCGCAGCTGTCGCACGCAGCACTGGCGCCGATTTTCTTTTTCTACCCTTTTCCGCTTTGGGTCTTGGCCCATCTCAGCTCAATCTTCATTTTCTTTTCTTCCTCTTGGTATCCATCACAAATCAAAGCTCCATCCTAAAATCCTAGTCTCCTAAGCTCAAGGTTGGCATTTTTAATGAAATGCTTTAGTGAGTCATGAAATTCTAGAGCTTAAAATTTTTTTTGGGTTAAGTTGCTTTTGAAGTTTCTTTTTTTGTTTTCTAGAAATCTGTGTTTACCCAAATTATGCTTTGTTTGTTTTCAGGAGAGGAAAATTGCAGGTGTTCATCCCTAAAATTGCAGGGTCGTTTTGTTCTTCCTTTTTTTTTCCCTTATAAATGAGTAAAGCAAGAATGTTCCTTTTGACGAATGGTTTTACTTCGTCGTAACATGATCTTCCGTTTTTGTCATTAACTCAAAGGAAAAAAATCCCCTGCAAAAAGAAAAGAAAATAGCACATCTTATCTTCTATAATCTTCATCAAATCCAATCTTTCTCAGGTATCAGATAGGAATAAGAAAAGAATAGAGTGGCAGGTGAGGATGGGTGCTAGCAGTGATCCCAACTCAGAGGGCTCAGATGAGCAGAAGAAGCTATCTGAGATATACACGTACGAGGCCCCTTGGCACATCTACGCCATGAACTGGAGTGTTCGCTGCGATAAGAAATATCGCCTTGCCATCGCCAGTCTGCTGGAGCAGTACCCCAACCGCCTCGAAATCGTGCAGCTCGACGACTCCAATGGTGAGATCCGGTCTGACCCTAATCTCTCCTTCGACCACCCCTGTCCATCCACCAAGACCATCTTCATTCCTGACAAGGTTTGCCAGAAGCCTGACCTTCTTGCCACCTCTTCTGACTTCCTCCGCATTTGGTGCATCTCAGATGATCACTCCTGCGTCGACCTCAAATCTCTCCTTAACGGCAACAAGAACAGTGAGTTCTGCGGTCCTCCTACATCCTTCGACTGGAATGAGGCGGAGCCTAAGCGCATCGGCTCTTCCTCCATCGACACAACTTGCACTATATGGGACATCGAGCGGGAGACTGTGGACACCCAGCTTATTGCCCACGACAAGGAGGTTGGGCGGCGTTGGTGTTTTCGCTTCTGTCTCCGCTGACGGTTCCGTCAGGGTTTTCGACTTACGTGACAAGGAGCACTCCACAATTATTTACGAGAGTTCTGAGCCAGATACCCCACTTGTCCGGTTGGGTTGGAACAAGCAGGATCCCAGATACATGGCCACCATCATTATGGATAGTGCCAAGGTGGTTGTTCTGGATATCCGCTTCCCAACACTGCCAGTAGTTGAGCTGCAGAGGCACCTGGCAAGTGTCAATGCCATAGCGTGGGCTCCCCACAGGTCCTGCCACATTTGCACCGCCGGGGATGATTCTCAGGCCTTGATTTGGGATTTGTCCTCCATGGGTCAGCCTGTGGAGGGCGGGCATGACCCCATTCTTTCCTACACTGCTGGGGCTGAAATCGAGCAACTGCAGTGGTCCTCTTCCCAGCCTGATTGGGTTGCCATCGCCTTCTCCACCAAGCTTCAGATTCTCAGAGTATGATTGAACGGGATGGGTGTATTGGATTGTGTTCATGCTAAATTGCTAATTCATAGTGTAGTAATTGTAACTCGACCTATAGGAATAGCAAGATTGATGCAGTCAATGTGTCTGTGTGAGACAACTAAAAGTTCAAAACTGTTTCGGTTTTCCTGTTGTCATTTTCTCCTATTGTTTTCTTAAGCCAAATGCTTGATAGTTGATTGATCCCATCTTCATTACTCATGATTATACCAATCTCTCTATTTTGCTCTGTGTTTAGTGTTTCCCCTTCCTTTACATCCAAACCTTTCCCTGTTTTGTTGTTGTTGTGAGAGCAAAAGAACTGCAGACTCATTATTTTAGAACGCTTGGGAGGCAGTGCTTTGTGGACCCTGAAATGGAATATAAGATCAAGGAGACCACTCACTGCTGTTTGGTTTATGCAACATAATTATTACCGTTCTCTTTGCTTGTGTGAAAAGTTTGATTAGTTTTATGACTGTGACACATGACAATGCAGTAGTTGGTGGCATGAAGATGCAGGTGGGTTACCCCTGGCTGCTTTGAGGTGCTTGTGTTAAATGTTAAACTAGCTTTAGCTGTACAATTGCTATGAGAATGACTAAGTTCTTGATTCATGGGATTGAAAATCAAATCAGTTATAGCCTTATAGGTGGAAGAAGAGCTTTAGAAGGCAATATAGCAATGACGATAATGACCAACTAGATGACTGAAGGACACCTTTGGTTCATGTGGAATCTATTCTAATGACAGTATTTCTGTAAGGGAAAAAAATTGTAAAAGTGGCGGTACGAAGATGAGTTGGAGATTGAAAGAAAGGGCTGAGAAGATATATCCACTGTCATTGGTAAAGCACTATCAAAAATCTGTTGTCAGGTCTCTGACCTCTAGCAGTTGTGTTAGTTTCTTTTTTTTTTTTTTATGGATTAAATTAATTAACAAATGGATTTTCTATCATCCGTTTTTGTTAAACGCACAGAGGAGGTTGACAGAGAAGTATTAGAAAATTTTAAGTATGTCTATGCTTTGGAGAAGTCATAGTGATCATATTTCAATTTTAATTAAATACATGACAAACTTTTGCTAATTATTTTCTTCTATGTTTAGAACATATGATTGCTATTAATAGTGTCAATTTCTTATTAATTGTTTGCAGCGTCCTTGCTGGGAGTTCAAATTAAGATGTTGGCAGAATTCAAATATGACCGAGTGCATAGTTTCTTTGCTTTGCCTATATGAATTTATCTCAGCCTTGGTCATCACCCATCATGCATTGTTCAAATTTGGCTTTATAAGGTCTTGAATTTGAACTCGGAAGTTGGATAGGATGCCAGTAATTGTCCTCTCACCTTTTTTTTCTTTGCTAGGCTAATAGGCTTCTGATAACCTTTTCTTACTCTTTGTTGCAATGAGTTTACACCATATATAATAGCAGGTCAGAGTTCTGATCTAGTTATTATGTACTTATAATAGTCAACCTGCTCAATATCAGGCATTGTGAATTACTAGCATTCAGTAATTGCTATGAACTTTTATAATCTTGATCTTGAAAATCCTCTTTCAGTTTCTTGTTTCAGCATTCTTTAGTTCCATACATGTTATTACAATCAAGGTGACGAAAGCAAGAAACAGTTCATATATATAATGATGTGTAATGGATGATAAATTGTTTTATGATCTAATTTGTTCTTAAATATCTCAATTTAGTATCTGTACTGACTGTTGACATTTTTAATCAATCTGATGATCTGTGGCAGTGATACTTCTCTTGGAGACTCAAATGAGGTAAACAATATTCCATAATCTCTCTGTCCTAGTCCTATTGCAGCCCAACAGTTTTGAGATTGTATTTATGATGGCGAATGGAGATATGCTAGCTGAGAGATTAACTTATGAGCTTGATTATCTTCAACGTGTTAGTGAATCATCTAGTATGTAAATATGCAGACCGAAAATTAATCATAAATCATAATAATGTATGATGTGTCTTTGTAGGTTGTGCACATTTGAGATAGTTAGATTCATTATGCATTAACTCTTGTTTTCCATGATATTAATTTTGGATGAATGTGGGAGTTGTTGGAATTCTCTGAAGGCTTAAAACTTCACGAGTATACTGTCAGTTTAAGATGGCATAAAGAACGACCATTTGCTGCCAACTGACTGCTACTGATGATGGGTAACTTGGGTGGATCTGAATCTTCATCGTTGAATCATTGCTTTCACAGTTGTGGGTAGAGTTTGGTTTTGTTTTGTTTTTTTAATCCACTTGTTGGATCTTTGTGGGAGGAAAATTTGCTGGAGTTAGCTTTTTAGGATATTAGATTAGATCATAAGAGTTCATTTTCTGTACATCGCTGGTGGAGCTTTTAAACTTTATTATACTACCGGTGTTAGAATCTTGCCACATTGATTTTATTATTTTCATCCAAGAGCATCTGTAACCTGTTATTTGTAGTATTGAAAACATAAATGTCCAGCTTAACT